TACATATTTTTATCTGCAGAATGCGCTGCCGAAGTTTCCGGAATATAGTTCGGACGACCCTGTATATCAAATGTCAAAATTAACTGATATCTTTAGTTATTTTTGAAGTCAGTTGTCTCAACAATAATAACTTGCCGATTTGGTTTCTGTTGCAATGATCTGATAAATTAGTCAGCAATACATTTATGTATATACTGAAACTCTTGTTTCCTTTTCAGGCGTTTTAGTTTTTTGTATGTACATATATCCAGGGCCTATTTTACCATAAGGCCCGGGCCTTGGGCCCGGTGGTCTGGGGGGGCCCGTTAAAGGTTGTAAAATGTTCATAATTTCAAATGTAAATTTACATAGCAGAGAAAAAAAAACAGTTACCTCTGATAGGGAAAATAAAATTAAATAAAATAAGCTTTAGATTCATATAATTGTTTTTTTCATTATTTATTTTGTTGAATATAATAATGTTTATTTATTTTTTTAAATTATTAAAAAAATAGAAATAATTGTTTTATTTTTTTAACCCAAACTAACAAGAGAATTTTTGAATTTTATTGGAAAAGAGGGCCCGAAATTTTGCTTGGGCCTTAGGGCCCGACCAGTTGAAAAATAGGCCTTGCATATATCGATTTAATCTAAAATTGAATCACGGTTTTAGATAGATACATATACAAGACAACAATTTTCTTGTTAAACTATAACAAAACTATCAAACTAAAATTAGTTTTTGATTTAAATTTGTTTATTCAACGTTGTAGTCCAAACTTGTTTAAGAAACTTAGAATTTCCTTGGTCCATAAATTAATTTCTTCGAAATTTAGCGCCCCGCTGCAAGATTGAAAAACTACGCGAGCTGTTTTAAAACTAGTTAAATGGGGTCGTAGATAAATTTCTAATTAACCGAAAGCTAGAGCACGAAATAGTTTTAAAGCCGATGCTTGATGAATTTTTAATTGCAAGGGTGTAAATTTTATTTCAGCTTTTACGGTATTTTTATGTTTTTTTTTACTAATAACTATGGAGAAAGATGTGTTGAGACCCTGTAGGTAATTATGTTGTATTAACTAAAAACTAATATTATAACTGTATATCGAGCAATAACAGTGGGTACACTCGTTGAATTTGACACTTAATGTCAGTTTAATAATATATTTTTTTCTACAAACGTCAAAAAATGACAAGGTTGCCGAATTGATAGCAATGTGCGAAGTGACACTTTTTTTCATTTTCCTACATTACCATGACCCGGTGCGCGAAGTAATGCGCGAAATGCTTATTTCGCACACTGCATGTAAATTATATGAGATTTTGGAATTTTTATTTTTGGAAAATAAAAAACTAAATCATAACACCTAATTATTTCAAAATATTCAAGAATAAACAAATAACAAATATCAAACTTAACACTAATGCATATTCTAGTTATTATTTACAATATTAACATTAATAGTACAACCACTACACGAACCAATATTTAATTCCAAACTAGATATAATAGTTCTGATTTTGCTTGAGATATGGGGGTTTTGGGACTTGAGACACTATCAAATTTTGATGTAGTCATCCAGATACTTGATCCCGGTATTTGACACTCTAAAATTTTATTTGATATTTGAATTTTATTGTTGATAGAATCCTCGACGTATCCCTCGGCCACTGTCGAAGATTTTCATCCTCCGTCGCGCTTCAAACTAACGAGCACAAACGTATAATTTTGGAAGGAGTAATTATTATTATTGTTTCCAATTTGTTTCCATAGTTACAGTGACATGTTAATTCGAAATTAAGCCAAGCTCTCGCTTTTTTTTTCGTAGCAATAATATTATAATAAGAATTTTTAGGGATTTTTGTTTATCCCTCTGTATAAATTCGATGAAATTTTAAATCAAATCGAATAAACGTTGCCAAGTTTCTTAACGAACTTCTAAAGTTTCTTGGTTCGTTTATCTGTACACCGAGTTATTTTCTAGTTTCCTCTTGTTGAAAAGTTGTTACGAAACTAGGTCTCGTTATATTGTTACTACAATACCAAACTACAGCATTACTATAGTAAGTCGCCTTCAATATATCATTACGTGACATAAAATAGCAGAGTATTGTCGTAGCAGTGGAGAGTTCAGATTCTGTAATTTATCTTGGGTTGTATAATGGTCCTGGATGGAAAAGTTTGTCATAATATGTAATTTTATGATACACGTTTTATTTTCGAAAAACGATTTATTGTTTATTAAGAACCTAGAAATTGAGTGAATTCAATTATATTTTATACTTAAGTGTTTAGCAAGGTACAGCTTGCCATGCTAGGGCCGTTCGGTATACAAGAAAGGTAATGTGGCTAGCACTACGCTTCAACCGCCTATTATTACCTCAGGATTGTGAATCCCAAGTACTCATTTAAGGCTGAGTCGACCTAGGTACCCAAACTATTTTTTTTAATAAAAATAGTCGGCTGATGAAATTTTGAATGATGAAAAAGAAGTTTTAATGCTTAAAAAAGCAAGGGGGGCGACATGTTTCGGGAATTTAAACTATTCCCATCAGAATCATGGGAATAGTTTAAATTCCCGAAACATGTCGCCCCCCTTGTTTTTTTAAGCAAAAAAACATAAATTAAACAACTTAAAGATTGTGAGTTATTGTCCTTTTACCCGCCTTCAAAGGTTTTGCTTTGATAATATGTACTCACACTGGGTTAGAGAACGTCTAGTTTTTGAATTATAATTAGTAGAAAAAGTTATAGCCTGAGGATATATTTATGTTAAACTGTGTTTCCTACATATTACAAATTTATTAAAAATATACATTTGTTACATTGTAACAGATATAACGCAAATTATTATTATGTTGGTATTTTATCTAAACAAAGAGAATATTTAAAACTCATATATTATTCTTTGAAAAATATGACAGATAATATAATAAATAAGTTTCAAGATAACTAAAATTTATAATATCAGTAAAATTCTTTATGCATAAAATACCTAGAAAATATAACAGATAAAATAGAAATAATGTCACATTAAAAATTCATTGTGAAATAATTTATAATTTATTCTTGTTAATTGACTGGGATTCACTGATACTGCTGTAGACTTCTTAAAATTATGTAATTGCGTATGAAATAGTGTTTTGTTTATATTATTTATTTATAATTATTGATAAGATTGGAAATAATATTTTGTCGAGGTTAATAGAAATATAAACAAACCCAATACGAGTTCATATATACAGGGTGTCAAAAATACTGTATCTAACCTTGGTGGGTGATTCTACAGATAAAAATAAAACAAAAAGTTCCTATGAATAATAATGAATATATTTTTTAACATTGGTAAACCGTTTTTCTTGAAATTTGCTACTCTTACACATATTTTAATGCCAAAGCAAATGGCGACTGTGAATAACAGCCCTGAAAAGGTATTTTCCATTAGGGTACAGAGTACACTTTACTGGTGGTACTTCTTTTATCCTTATACAGGGTGGCCCCTCTCATACGACGCGGAGGCTGCAAGGAGAACAGTATAGTTTATATCGAAATAGAATTTTGGCAGCATATGTAGGTTAATCGAGAGCTTTTTTTAAAAATATATAGAGTTATACAAGGCGTCCCCAAACAAGTTACAAATCAAAGTTGTGTTTTTTGTAACCCTATATATTAACTGATTTTCGGATTAACTACTTCGTAATAGCTAGCTAAATTTTAATTGACCTTGTATAGCCTGATATTTAATTACAGTAACTATTGTATGTTAAACCAAATTAAAATTTGACCCGAAAAGTTATACAGGGTGGGATAAAATTAATATGGATCACTTTTCACACTCCTTTATTTTAAATGGAACCCCGATATGTTATTCCGGTGTTCAATCGGGAATTCATATATATTCAATATATTATTATGATATTTTTCCTAGATATTTTAATTTTTATGATTTTGTGTCAATAGATCTTTATAATTTGAAAAAATCTAGGTGGCTGTGATTTACCTTTTGTTAATTTAACAAAGATTACAGAGTGTAGGGTAAAATACTCAACGGTAATAAAAAGATACATTTAAAACATATTTTAATTATTACAGAATTAGAAATAGATATAAACCTATAATTACGTGACAAAAATTAGCTAGATGAAATCAAATGCTCAAAATGCTTTCTTTCCTGTTAACTGCATAAAATGATTGTCTTTTCAAAAGATCTTTTCATTTTAAATGGTATGTGGAGTTCTACATCGAAAAGCAGCTAGAATCATTTCTCTCATGTTGTCGACAATAGTTGGTCAAGTTTTGTAAACACTGTCTTTAGCATATCCCCATAAAAAAGCGCAGACTAGATAAAATCAGGAGTATTTAAGTATTCTATTAATTGGTGAATGCAGTCTCCAACTGCATTCACGAACTAATAGAATAATATCAATTCTCTCTGATGTAGGATAAGTTTGCATAATTTTAGCAGCAAGCTTAATCACGTGACTAAAAGTTTATTTGATACGAACTATATATTGGAATTAGGTATCTCCAGAAAACAACAAACACAAATCATCAAAAAATCTTTCAAGAAGTAGGTATATCCGTTAAATTATTTTTGATTTATTTTTTCTTCCAAGAGTCTATTAAACCAGAAACTTTAATGAGGACAGCCTTAAGTATACTTACTTAAAAGGAAAAATCCACCACTTCATGGAAAGATTAGTATCATGTCAAAAAAAGTTACGGAAATCTTAGAGCACTTACTCAAAGAATCTTTGATTATATATTTTTATATAAGCACTCGTGCTACTTTTAAAAGATCTTAGGCATTACTGGACGATCCATTCCCATTGAGCTTACAAAATATACCAGAAGGTGTCTAGTCATTGCAATTATTATAAACAAGATATTGAAGGGGTAACACGCACTTAATTTACTATACAATATTGAATTCCTCTGTGCAGCGTAATAAAACTTGTTGTTTAGTTTGAAATGATAACTGGAAAGAAGAAAACGACAAATACCAGCCAGAATAACTTACCGTAGACCATCCTACACATCGCCATGGATCACTCCACCCCGACAATCATTCACTTATTCCCGTTTTTTCCTGCTGTTATTGTTGAAGCGTCAGCCGGGTGGCTAGTCGCATCGACCCCGTCGACGATCACCAACTAAAATCCCGACGAAATGTCGGAAGATCCCGATTTCGCGCGGCGCACAGGAAGACCGGAGAGGAACAAGAGCGCCGATCGATGGACCGATGCCGTGTGAGAGCGTTACGAGCGTCATCGCGCCCGCTAACTGCCACTGCGAAGTACATCGGTCTTATCTTTGACTACGATTCGTGCGAGATTCCTGATAACAGTGGCAGTGTCTTAATCGAAAGCCAATTGAGGGTTTAATTTTACTGGTTGATTAGTAATATGCACTTTCGAGTTTTTTTGGGGTTTTTTGAAATGATTTATTGCTAGAATCCGCAATTGAAATTGAATAGAAACCGAGACCTTACAGATCTATTGTGATTGTGTCCCCCTTCCTTAGGTTATAACGAGTTATATATCATCACACCAGTCTCAGGGCTTTGAAAAATGCCAGTAGTGAGGCGGTTTTACAGAGGTTAGTCCTCCATCTACGATATCACTCGGACCAAACTTCATGACACGAATGGTTGTCGTCTCGGCACACTCATTAGCTGAATACACACGTAAAGACTTATTGGAAGCAATAAATTGTACTAATTAGTTGTTAGATAAATCGTTAAGACAAATCAATCAGACAAATTTTAGTGATGACACTAATGCAAAGCTTTATTGAAGAGAATTATCGTATAAAGTTTATATGAGTTGCGTCTATGTCGTTCACAAAGATTTATCCTTAAATTTGGTACGATTTATTTGTAATTGTTGATTTTTCGAAATTCCATAAAATCTGAGCGTTTTAATTGTTACTCGTAGATGTACTACATTTTCAATCACTCTACGATGAATGAAAAAACGATTTATTTATAAAACGTTGTATTAATTGGAATGATTGGTTAAGTGATTATAAAATAACGCCGAGGGAATAAAAAACAGACAAAATGGGCTAAAACATGGTTATTGAGAAAAGAATTACACCTTATAAAGCAGCTGCAAAAAGATGACCCTGACAATTTTAAATAACTACCTATGCACGGATGAAGATACTGTTCAACATTTACTGTGAGGTTGTTGATAATTCGCGACAGATTTGTCTGGCTATTTTAATCGCTGTGTTAGTCTATGCACTATGCTAGACTAAGGGACAGCAAAATTGGAGGCAAAAAGCATACTGATGAATGAGTAGCAAAAGGAGTGGGATCTAGATAGATATGGCAGATGGACACATGATCTCATACCAGACATTAATACCTGGTTAGACAGAAGTTTTGGAGAGACAGACTATTTTCTAACTCAGGCATTTACTGGGCACGGATGCTTTAACAGCTATTTGTATGAAAGGGAGAGATCCACCTCAAACTTGTGCATGTATTGCAAGGAAGTTGATAGTGTCGAATACACCCTATTCCTCTGCAATGAACGGAAGCAGTTTAGAGGGTCATTCCAACGGGACAGTGGCGGACAAGTCTTTGCCAATGCTAATGCCAAAACTATGATGCAAGGGCTGTTAAGCGGTGAAACATCAGGGAAAATTACATAATATAGATGCATACGAGAAATAATACAAACCAAAGAAAATAGAATGCGGCGCCATACCGCATAGACAATAGACAGCAATCCCAGGGCAACACCAGTCTTAGAGCTTTAACAAAAGTCAGTATCTGAGACGGTTTTACGGAGGTTAGTCCTCCATCTACGGTATCAGTCGGACCAAACTTCATGGCTCGAATGGTTGTCGTCTCGGCACACTTAGTGATGATGTGTCTGGTGTTTCCCAATTTTCCCTACAGAATCATTCACCGTTGTTCCTTCAGCATTCGCCGTTGTTTCTTAGTTTCAATCTACTGAGGTGTTCGTTGAGGAGACAGTGTCCTGTCAAAATCCCCGTGACAATCCGAAGATTATTGTTATTTAAGTCAAGGAAAATCTTTGTTTTTTTCTCGGTCATAAGTTCTGAGAAATTTCTTAGACTGTCTTAGAGCGTTGGAGAATTCCCATTCCAGGTTACAGATACGTTCTTGACTGCTGCTTTATTTTAAGTTGGTTTCCACTTGGGAAACAGATCGGTTCTGGTCCAGTTAGTGGACGAGAACTCCTTTTCTAGCTACTAGCTAGAAAAAACGATCTAACTAATAGCAGCTAGATCGTTTGCTTTTTCATTGCCTTCTATCTCTTGATGGGCTGGCACTTAGAGTAGGAAATTTATTGTTATCATTGCCTAATTATCTTAGATTCTCATTTATTGCTAAATATTTTGACGAAAACTTTCAAAGATATGGCGAGATATAAACACATGAAAACACTTAAAAAATAGGAAGCCTGCCTACTTTTTCAATATTAATGTATGGCTCCAAGTTCTGGACAACGAGACAGTCAGAAATAAAAAAAAAATAAGTAGTGAATTCCATACTTAAAAAAGTACTTTATAAATATGTAATAATTAATTTTTATAACAAACTATGCAATGACTTTTAGCTTAAACAGCAAGTTGCCTTGATTTAAGGAGTTCAATACTTTTTGACCTATTTTCTGTGGAGATTCTTGATAACGGAGGCAGTGTCTTAATCGAGAGCCAATTGGGAGCTTAATTTTACTGGTTGTTCAGTAATATACACTTCCGAGTTTCTTTTAGGGTTTTTGAAATTATTTATTGCTAGAATCCGCAATTGAAATTGAACAGAAACCACGAATTTACAGATCTATTGTGGCCCCCTTCCTTGAGTTATAACGAGTTATAACTCATCAAACCAGTCTCAGGGCTTTGACAATTTACAGAGGTTAGTCCTCCATCTACGACATCAGCCGAACCAAACTTCATGCACGAATGATTGTCGTCTCGGCGTACTCATTGATGAGGTGTTCTGGTGTTTCCCCATTTTTCACACAGAATCTGCATTCGCCGGTGTTTCTTAGCTTCAATCTACTGAGGTGTTCGTTGAGTAGACTGTCCTCTTAAACCCCGTGACAATCCGAAGATTGTTCTTACTTATATAAAGGAAAATCTTTATTTTTTCTCGGTCATAAGTTCTGAGCAATTTCTTAGACTGTCTGAGGGTGTCTTAGGCCGATGGAGGATTCCCATTCCATGTTACGGATGGAGTCTTCCAGGTTTTTGAGTTCCGTTTTAAGTTGGTTTCCACTTGGGAAACAGAACGGTTCTGGTCCAGTTAGTGGAGCGTTCGCTCCTTTTCTAGCTAGATCGTTTGCTTTTTCATTAACTGCCTTCTATCCCTTGGTGGGCTGGCACTCAGAGTAAGAGGACTTTATTATCTTTGTCTAATTTGTTCAGATTCTCATTTAATGTTAGACAAAACTCTCAAAGATATGGCGAGACATCAACATATAAAAACACTAAAAATAGTATTTAAAAAATAGGAAACCTGCCCAAAATTTTCAATATTAATGTATGGCTCTCCGTCCTGGACAATGAGACAGTCAGAAATGAAAAAAAAAATACTAGTGAATTCCATATTTAAAAAAGTACTATTTATTCTACGATCGTGCAAACAGTAGCTATATTTCTACCTTATTAAAAGTCAATTTTTTACACTAGTGCAAAAAATAACTGATTTTTTGCACAAAAACACCTTGACATTATAAATGACGTGTTTAACTAAAGAGAAAATTTTTTTAATTTTTTGTAAAAATTTGTCAAACCCTGGAAATCAGTACTGGACACCTCGCAGCAACATTCCGGAAAATATTTTTAAGTTTAGAACCCGTTTTAAGAACTAGAACCCGAGCCCTCCATCAGCAGAAATGACAATAAAATTCAAAAGACTACTGGAAATGAAGTTTGTCCATCGATTTACCTTAGTGAATTGTTCAAACTGCGACATTAAAATTAAAATGAACTCAAAAAAAGTTATTAAAAATAAATAGTAATATTATTCTGTGAATTACTGTAAAAACTTTTTAACAAACATTTAAATAAGAATTTAAATTCGATCGTAGAAAAAATGTTGTGTGCAACATGTGCAAAAGGCATATTTTGTTACACTCGGCATGATTGCAGCCATTGATGCAAAACTCAGGCGTCCTGCAACAAATATGTCCTTTTTGCTAGTTACACAAATATCTACATGCATGTATTTTAAATATGAAATAATTAACTAATTACTTTTAGCTTAAACACAAATTTCTGCCGCATTGATTTAAGGAGTTAAATACTTTCTGATCTGTCTTTCCATCAGGATGAAATTTCAATCAATTTTTTTCCGTGTAACAGCACAGAGTTTTTATTTTTCTGGTAATAAACTGTAAAAATTATTGCATTATTTAATAATCTTTATACACATATTTATTTAATTCTGTCTTAAATCTTGTTTGGCTTAATAAAATGAAAAATATACGAAATAAAATAAATGTACTAATTTCTTTCGAAAATCGACAACTATGAAAATATGAACCTTTCCTGGACACAAACGGTACATTGTGAGACAGGAAATTGGTAGAGAGAAACAAGCCCTATAACATAGGATACAACATTTTAATGAACAGTGCTTTCCATAAAATCAATCATTTGAAAAATATACTAAATAAAATAAATGTACTGATTTCTTTCGAAAATCGACAACAATGAAAATATGAACCCTTCCTGGACACAAACGGTACATTGTGAGACAGGAAATTGTAGAGAGAAACAAGCCCTATAACATAGGATACAACATTTTAATGAACAGTGCTTTCCATAAAATCAATAATTTGAAAAATATACTAAATAAAATAAATGTACTGATTTCTTTCGAAAATCGACAACAATGAAAAAATATGAACCCTTCCTGGACACAAACGGTACATTGTGAGACAGAAAATTGTAGAGAGAAACAAGCCCTATAACATAGGATACAACATTTTAATGAACAGTGCTTTCCATAAAATCAATAAAATGAAAAATATACGAAATAATATAAATGTTCTGATTTCTTTCGAAAATCGACATCTATGAAACTATGAACCCTTTCTGGACACAAACGGTACATTGTGAGACAGGAAAATGTAGAGAGAAACAAGCCCTATAACATAGGATACAACATTTTAATGAACAGCGCTTTCCATAAAATCAATAAAATGAAGATATAACGAGACATAAACATATAGAAAATAGAAAACATTAAAAATAGTAGTTAAAAAATAGGAAGCCTGCCTA